CCTGGCAACCTTTCGCAATTCATTTAATCCCCTGTGCACCTGCCTGTTTGTTGAAGTCTCTGGATAAGACATTGATACTCACTTTCAAAAGTCAGCCCCAGACTCAGCACTTTCTTGTGACATCACATCACTTAATCCTTCATCTACTGTGCTACACAGTGACTTCCCCAGTGTTGTGGAAGATAGATCTAAGCTTTAGACCAGCTCTGTGGATAATTCAGTTTCTGAGTTATCATTTTTTTAAGTACTGGAGATAAATCTCAAGTGTTTCACAGAATCTAGAGCTTCAAGGTATCTAATGATTGTCTGGCATTAGGTTAGAGCTGACCACAAATTTCTTTCAGTGAGGTCTTTTTTTTTTTTTAAGATTTTATTTATTATGTATACAACATTCTGCTTCCATGTATATCTGCACCCCAGAAGAGGGCACCAGATCTCATAACAGATGGTTGTGAGCCACCATGTGGTTGCTGGGAATTGAACTCAGGACCTCTGGAAGAGCAGTCTGTGCTCTTAACCTCTGAGCCATCTCTCCAGCCCCGTGAGTTCTTTTAATACGTTTTTTAAAATTAAGCTGATCAGTGATCAGAACTGATATGCAGCCATGAACAAAGAATTAGTTCAGTCATCTCAGTTTATAAATTCTTCTCTGAGGAAACTTTTACTCTTTCCATAAATAAGAGGAAAGGATAGAACTGATATCATATAGGGTTTTAGTTATGCCACCCTTTGAGGTTTCCCTTAAACAGCATAATTTGAGTAGTTGATTAAATCATCGGCTTGGGAACGTAGTAATTCATGGTATGCTTAAATGATGGCTTTGGAAGGACTGTGATGCAGAACAAGTATATTGGTTACTAAGTATTTCCAGTTGTCAAGGCATGATATAGTTGTTTAAAGAATGTACTTGGGCTGGAAAACTAGCTCAACAGTTTAGTTTTATACTGTTCAAAGGGACACAAGTTAAATTCCCAATGTCCCACATGGGGCAGCTCAGAACAATTTGTAACTCCAGTTTTAGAGGAATTTCACGCCTCTGGCCTCTATGAGCACCTGCACACATGTGCATGTTCTCATACACATCCACACAGTTTAAAATACACTTTGTTTTTCTAATGTCTAGCTTAGGAAAAATATTAAGAAAATTTATCCCTGATTAACTTTATATCCCTGTGGAATTTTTTTTCCCATTTAGTTTCTCATTTTTCTTTTGAAAATGCCTAATTTTTTCAGATTCTTTTCTGGTTTTTGTTTTGTTTTTGAGGGGGGTTAGTGTTTATATCAACTTTGGATGACCCATGAATTGATCCATTTTTGCACTGAGGACTAAGAATTCAACACCCATTTTTATTACCTACTACGTATATTATGCAGGCTTCAAGAGATGTATTCTTTATTTTCTCCTAAGTTTTACAGTCCTTTTGGAAAAGCACAATATACCTCTCTACCTAGCTGTCATGCAATAGCCCCATACACAAAAACACCTAGAAATATCTCACTAGAAATACCAGGTAGTCAATTAGACATAACTACTGAACCCAGATCTGACCTGAGTGTTAATGTTAACATAGCATGAAGTACTGGAAGAAGCTTCCAGAAGGGTCAGACTTTAGGTAGAGTTCTTCCTGTGCCTGGATCTAGCTTTCAAAAGACAGAGGCTCAAGTCTTGGAAACCATAGTGAACTTGGTTTCTTCTCCTGTTCCTTGAGATGAGGGTTAGCTGACTTTTCAAAGCATGTATCCTGGTCTGTACATTCACTCACAAACCCTATGATTTTTCTGACTTTACTGCCCTCCCATCTCTTTCTTATACTACAAGCCAGATTTAGCCTTTCCTCTGACAAATGGCCACTTCCAACTTCTCTGATAAAAACAAAGTTGCTTCCTTTGGAGGAGTGGTATGCTCACTTTCTTTTTAGTGACCTAGATCTCCCATGACCCTTGTGTGATATGATCCACTGATCTATTGGAAACATAGTATTTTAGGTTCCTGGCATATTTATCCCTTCATAACACCAGACTATGTTTTCCACTAGATCATATCTTAGTATTTTTAAAAATAGTCATGTATAGGGGCTGGAGAGATGGCTCAGAGGTTAAGAGCACTGACTGCTCTTCCAGAGGTCCTGAGTTCAATTCCCAGCAACCACATGGTGGCTCACAACCATCCCTTATAAGATCTGGTGCCCTCTTCTGATGTGCAGATATACATGGAAGCAGAATGTTGTATACATAATAAATAAAATCTTTTAAAAAATAGTCATGTATAATAATCTAAATCTCAAAAATAAGAATACAGATAGTATTCATTGTACACAACATTGTTTTCCCAACCATGACTAGTGTAAGACTTCCTTAGTGCACATATGTGTTAATGATTACAACAGATTTATAAGACCAGACTGAACATCTGTTTGTTATAACATTATATCAGGAAGAATGTTTGTTGTAAGGACATTTATCACTATTTTTATGAAATTGAAACATCCCATTCAGAACATGATGAAATTTCAAAACTAAACAGGTTCCATGCCGAAAACATTCATAAAACTATTTTAAACAAAAACGGTTGAAATAAATGAATCTTCCTGAATTCAGGGCAAAGTTCCAACTGTCATTCTGATTTTTAGCTTTATGAGAGATTCTGCTACCTTCACAGAGTTGGGGGAAATGTTTGCTACTGCACACATCATCCTTTTTCTTTGTAGGCTAGAGTTCTCAGGCCCTGGCTGAAGAAGTCTGGGCTAGTATGCGCCTTTCATCACCCTGTGTTTAACTGATTGACAGTGTTGATTTAATACTTACAGCCCTAGCAGAAAGGAAAGAACTTCTCAGTCATGTTTCTCATTGTTTCTCTAAAATGGCATCATAATGCAGCTAAAGAAAGTCACAGTAAGCTTGACAGGTAATGCATACCTGTAATCCCAGAATTTGGGAACCAAAAACAGGACCACGATGAGTTAAAAGGCAGCCTCAGCTACAGAATGAGACCATTTGAAATTAAGTTTGAGAATAAGAACTAAATTGTTTAATAACCTATCATTGTTTTATTTAAATAATTCCATTGGCTCATCTTACTCAGTTTGAATTCCCTTTGACCTTAGCACAAGTATTCATTGCTTCTAGTTCCTGATTTTAGACACAGTGTGACCAGCTGTTTCTGTCTCGTGCTGCTTTGGCTTCACTGCCATAAAGGACTGTGTGCTTTATAACATTGTATAACAAGCTGGGCAGTGGTGGCTCATGCCTTTAATCCCAGCACTTAAGAGGCAGAGGCATGAGGATCTATGTTAGTTAGTGCCAGGACAGGTTCCAAAGCTACACAGAAAAAAACCTGTCTCGAAGAAAAACAAAAACAAAAATGTATATAACAAAATAAACCATTTGAGTTGGATTTTGTCGGGGTATTTTATCACAGTGTAGTGGTTTGAAAGAAAATGGCCCCCAAAGGGAATGGCACACTAGAAAGTATAGCCTTGTTGGAGGAAGTGTGTCACTGTGGGAGAGGGCTTTCAGGTCTCTTTTGCTCAAGCTTCCCTCAGTGTGACTCAGTCCACTTCCTGCTGCCCACATGTAGCTAGCACCATGTCTGTCTGTATGCCACCATTTTCCCCCACAATGATGATAATGGACTAAACCTCTGAAACTGTAAGCTGCCACCTCGATTAAATGTTTTACTTTATAAGAGTTGCTATATTCATGGTGTTTCTTCACAGAAATAGAAACCCTAACTAAGAGTCACAGTAACAGGAAAAGAAACTCAAGCAGAGGTCAAATCTAGAACTTAAGTCATGCGACTAGTGTTTTTCCAGAACACAAAATTGATAGTTATTGAAAGAAATCAACATAGTTTCTCTATGTATCATATAAAAATTTTTATCAATACAGAAATCAAAAGTCATCATTGTTGCACATAATCCTAGCACTTGGCAAGTTCCAGGCCAGCCATAGCTACAGAGTAAAACACCATCTCAATAAATAAATAAAATTTACATTAATAAAAAGAAATCATTACAAGTAAGTATGTAATAAATACTAATTTGTTCCTTAAACTAATAAAGAGTACATTTTAGCAAATATGGCAGAAGAGATGGTTGCTAACTATAGCTAGTGGAGGAATGTTCTCAGAAGTGAGTTATTTTTACATTTAACTCAGCTTATGGTTATTTTGTATTTTTTTAACAAACTACTTACTATTTTTCATAGTTGTCTTTTTTAAGACAGGGTTTCTCTACATATCCCTGGATGTCCTGGAATTCACTATATTGAATAGGCTGGCCTGAACTTCTCAGAGATCCTCCTGCCTCTGCCTCCCAAGTGCTGGGATTAAAGGCATTTTGCTACCATGCCCAGTTTACTTTTTGTAATCTTTTGATCTTGCTGAAGAAGACATAGAAGCAGTCTCAAAATGGCTTTCTTTTTTAGTTTTAAAATAGTAATTCTAAGCTTATAGTGTAGAATATTTGTATGCCCTTCTGCTAGCTTTCCTTACCATTGCCAATGTACATATAACCACTGTAAAATGATCTACAGCAAGAAGTTAGCATTAGAATAGTGTTTTCGGGGCTGAAGATGTGGTTCAAGAAGAACAAGGGGCTGGAGAGATGGCTCAGTGGTTAAGGGCACTGACTGCTCTTCCAGAGGACCTGGTTTCAATTCCCAGCACCCACATGGCAGCTCTGTAACCCGCATGTTACTGTCTTTAACCCCAAGATCTGACACCCTCATGCAGGCAAAACACCAATGCACATAAAATAGAAATAAATATTTTTTTTAAAGAAGTTAAGAACAGGTACTGCTCTTACAGTGAACCCAAGCTTAGTTCACAGCCCCCACATCAGTTGCCTCAGAACCACCCGTGACTCCAGCTCCATGGCATCCAACACCCTCTTCTAGCTTCTGAGGGCATGCAGTTATGTGCATAAATACCCCACCACACATACACATACACATACACATACACATACATATACACATACACACACAATAAAGAGATGTAATTATAATGCATGAGTAAAATTTATAAATGGCAGAAGAAAACTTGAAATTACTTGATGTTTTGTGGTTTAAGAACAATACTTGAATACAGTCTTATGCATGAAAATGCATAGGATGATATTTCTCTAGTTCTAATGTAATTGTTTTCAAGATGAAGATGTTCTAGAGCAGAGTCCTCATCTTCTTCAACATTACAGATTTGTTCAGGAAGGATATTCCTAAAGAAAAATACACATGTAAGTTATAAGCAGTCCAAGTAATCTAACTTTAGGATTTAGAAGTTAAGTTTTTAAAAAATGTTTTGGTTCTTAAAATGAAGTTAGGCAGAACATGGTGACTCACATTTGTAATTCCAGTACTCAGAAGCCTAATCAGGGGTTGTAGTGAGTTTAAAGACAGGTATCACTACTCAACTGAGTTCCAATAAACTTATTCTGAGTTTACCTTCATAAAACTCATTATTCAGACAATTATTGAAAATTAACACAAAAGTGGAAGCCATGGTGAATCTTCACATACTTATTCTATTTTAGCAATTAACATGGCCAATTTTGTCTACATCTAATATTTAGCACCAGTTTCTCTCTTCAAAAGAAATCTAAATGTTCATATTATGGGTATTTATTTGTCAACCACAATTTAAATTGATACTAGAAAAATACAAAATTTACCGAATCTTATTGTTGTTCAGCCTCAGAAAATGCAGTGCTTTCATATCTTGTATTCCAGGTGGTATGGATTTTAAGTCATTGTGATCCAGAAATAATTCTCTCAGAGAATGATATGCACCATAGAAGGATACTAGGTCCACACCATCATCGGCAAGTCTATTAAATGACAGGTACAAGTACTCCAGGCCTGGTTCCATATGCCCAAACACGTAGCCAGGGATCCGTTCAATCTGGTTCCCAATTAGTACTAGGTGCAGCAGAGACTTGGGTAGATAGGAGGGGACATGGTAAAGCTTGTTATAGGACAGGTCGATGGATTCAAGATTTCTGCAACAAAGGAAAAGTGAACAGAATAAGGAACTTTAGGAGACTGACTGGCCATCCTGATGCTCCTAAACAGAAGCAAATTTTATGCCAGCCTGGGTCTGTCTGGGCCCCAAGCTCATATTCTTACCAGCATCCGCATTGTTCCTTAGCTAGGGATGTGCATCAGAGTTCAGGTGGAAAAACTCAGATCCTTTAGGAAATGGGGAAACTAAGTTCAAATTGTTGACTCAAATGAAATCCAGGAGTCTTTGTTTCTAGTAATGATGTTTCCTGATTTGTGGGGGTAGGGGTGGCCTACACTTCCGTTATTTGATTTATGATCTAGAACATCCGGGACTTGGGGTGAGATAAAGGGATTAGAGTGAAGTAGAGGAATATAGAAGCGTTAATGCACTGGGAAGTCCTGGAAATGTGGTGAGCTCCCTACTTTGTTTCAGAAGCTTCCCCTGAGTCTACAAGGGTTTCTGCCCAGCCTTCTCACCCAATAAAGATCACTCTATTCACAAAGGACTTCATTATCCTCCAGTTGGGTCCAAAGCCTCTTTTCATCTCTGAGAACAGCCCATTTCCCAGGCCAGTTGTCTTGGGAGCATATCCTTGTATAAACATTTAGCCCATGTTTGGATATATCCATTGGGCTGGCATTCATTTCATTCCTTCTTTGCTAAAGACTACAAATAGGTTGTTGATTGCTATCTAGAAGATGGATTCTATTTTGTACCTCTACTGTTAAACAAGCCTTCTTGAGATACAGAAATGGTTTGGATCAAAAAAGAAAACAGTATGGCGTAGGAAGACAGGCCTGGCCTCTGCAGGTTGGCATTTTCATCCAATAATGAAGAAAAGAGACGTCAGTACTCCTCTCTGTGTGCAGAGGATTATGCCATTTAAACTGACAACCTGTGAGGTAGGCATTGATTGTTGAGTCAACCCCTATTTCTTGCTACTTTAGCACTTAGCAAGTCCACAGGAAGTAGGGGTCATAATACCACTTATGTAATAAATGGTTTGGGAACTCAGTGAGGTGGGTAAATTCTGGAATGAAGAACAAACAGGAAAGGATGGTAAGGAAGTTAAATTGTGTAAGATACTTACTCTTGATTTATCCATGCTAAAGGAGCAATCCGACTTTCTTCTATTTTATTATAACGTAGTACAATCATATTGATTTTTCTGGTATGATTGAAACAAATTTCAGTTATTTCTTCAATCTGATTATTTTCTAGATATAATTCCTATAAATAAAAGAAAGTATTATTTTTCTTCTACCTGTGTTCAGTGATATCCAATTTCACAAAAACTAAAATAGACTATTCCTATTAGTATTATTTAAAGTCTTATTTGTTTATTTATTTATTTGTTTATTTATTTATTTATTTTTGGTTTTTCGAGACAGGGTTTCTCTGTGTAGCTTTGGAGCCTATCCTGCTACTCGCTCTGGAGACCAGGCTGGCCTCGAACTCACAGAGATCCACCTACCTCTGCCTCCCAAGTGCTGGGATTAAAGGCGTGCGCCACCAACGCCCGGCTTAAAGTCTTATTTATTTTTCAAGTGAGTTCATATTTTTAAGATGTCAAATTTGATAGCTAGTTAAAAAAAAAAAGTGCAGCCTATCATGATTATGGGCTGAAATAAATTGAATTTGTGTTTATACATCTGCATATTTGAGTGTAAGTGTGTATACATACACATGCCTGCAGAGCATGTGAAGGACAAAGGTTGGTATCAGGTATTTTCCTCAGTCACTCTCCACCTCACTATTTGAGACAGGGTGTCTTACTGAGCCTAGGGATCACTGATTCAGCTACACTGGCTGGACTAGTGGGTTCCAGAGGTCCCTCTGTCTTCCCATTCTGTGATGAGAAGACAGGTACATAGACCACATACAGCTTTTTGTGCGTGCTAGAAATCAGACTTGGATCCTTACATTTATGTGACAAGCACTTAAGTAAACCTATTTCATTAGCTGTAATATATGATACAGCATACCATATAATTGTATAAATTTTCTGACTTACAAATTTAATTAGCCTGGCATAGTGGCACATGCCTTTAATCCCAGCACTTGGGAGGCAGAGGCAGGCAGATCTCTTAAGTTTGAAGCCTGCCAGTCTACAAGGCAAGTTCAGGACAGCCATGATTGTTAAATAAAGAACCCTGTCTCTGAAAAAAAAATTTAAAAACCCACATTACTTATGTCACTTGAACTTCAGAGCTCTGAAAATTAGTGGTAGAAATAATTAGTGGTAGAAATAATCACAACTCACCAGTGATAAACCTACGGAGAGAGTAATGCCCCCCACCCCAGGTTCCAGGGCTAAATGCATGAGAGTCCAGTCTAGTTGAGCCTTGGGTTCCCTTTATAATTATTTTAGGCTCATGTTTTTAGACTTGAATTATAATTTACTTATTCATAAAGTTAACATTCAGTAAGTTGCTGGTATTAGAAAAAAATTTTACTAAAGGGTCTGAATTATTAAATTTTTTCTGGTTATAGTTAGAATGCATGCATAGAATTGGCTTATATGTTAAATGTAACTTTTTATTCATATCATGGTTATTTTGGCATTTGTTAGTAGTGCATAAAGGAATGTTTAGCTTTTTGCTTTTATTGTCTTGTGTACTTAAGGAATGAATTACATGAGAGACTTTCAAACTAAGAATCTATCAGAAACACCTCATGAGCCTTTTAAAGTAAAAAAGTCCAACCTAAATAAATCCCAGGCAGGGGTATTTAAGTAGGTTCTGGAATCCTCATTCATATGCTGAAGACTCTGAAGCTATAAGAAAGTTGATATGTGACAGTCTTCAGATGTGCCATGATGTAAGACTGGCCTGCAGAAATGTTTTTTTAAAAGGATTTATAGCAAATAGCATGTGCTGTATACTGTATGCCCAGAATTGCCAAGATTGGCAGAAATAGGTCCCTTTGGAGAGACAGAAGTCAGGCTGGAAAGTTCAGACATGGTGACAAGAATATTGATTTGTTTTTAATCACCTAAGTTACACATACATGTGTTTTACCAGTTGCATGCATCAAAATATTTAAAATATTATTACATTTATTTTGTGAACATAAGTGTATATGGATAGACACTTGTATGGAAATCAGAAGACAAGTTGTAGGTTATCAGTTATCTCCACAATATGGGTCTCGGGGATCTAACGCAGGTTGTCAGGCTTTGTATCAGCTGGGTTACTGGTGGAGCCATCTCTCTGCTCCCTAAAATTTTGTATCTTTAAAAAGTAACTTAGCTATCTGACTTTGCTGACAAAGAATAAGAATTAACATGTTATGAAGAAACAGGAGAATGGGCTGGAGAGATGGCTCAGGGGTTAAGAGCACTGACTGCTCTTAACTTAGGGGTCCTGAGTTCAATTCCCAGCAACCACATGGTGGCTCACAACCATCCATTATGAGATCTGGTGCCCTCTTCTGGTGTGCAGATATACATGGAAGCAGAATGTTGTATACATAATAAATAAATAAAATCTTAAAAAAAAAAAAAAAAACAGGAGAATAATCACACTAGAGAATTAACAGCACAACTGAAAGCTTTAGAAAACAAAAGAGCCAATACACCCTGGAGGATCAGATGCCAGGAAAGAATCAAATTGAGGGCTGAAATCAATAAAATGGGAACTAGGAGAACAATACAAAGAATCAATATAACAAAAAGTTGTTTCTTCGAGAAAATCAACAAGATAGACAAACCTTTATCCAAACTTACCAAACAACAGAGTGAATGTGCAAATTAATAAAATCAGGAATGAAAATGGGGACATAACAACAGACACAGAGGAAATCCAGAGAATCATCAGGTCATAATTTGAAAAACCTATATTCCTCAAAATTTGAAAATCTAAAGGAAATGGACAATTTTCTGGACAGATTTCACTTACCAAAATTAAGTCAAGAACAGATAAGCAACTTTAATAGACCTATAACCCCTAATGAAATTGAAGCAGTCATTAGAAGTCTCCCAACCAAAAAAAGCCCAGGGCCAGATGGCTTCAGGTCCCAGGGATGCAAGGATGGATCAACATACGAAAAATCCATCAATGTAATCCACCATAAAACAAACTGAAAAAGAAAAACCACATGATCATCTCACTAGATGCTGCTTTTTTGTCAAAAAGCCTTTGACAAAATCCAACATCCCTTCATGATAAAGATCTTGGAGAGAACAGGAATAACAGGAACATATCTAAACAATATACACGCAATAGACACCAAACCAATAGCCAACATCAAGCTAAATGGAGAGAAACTCAAAGCGTTTCCTCTAAAATCAGGAACAAGACAAGGCTGTCCAATCTCTCCCCTTGAAGTTCTAGCTAGAGCACAACAACAACAAAAGGAGATCAAGGGGATACAAATCGGAAAGGAAGAAGTCAATCATTCTGATGGGTGTAAGATTGTATCTCAGAGTTGTGTTGATTTTCATTTTCCTGATGGCTAAGGATGTCGAACAATTTCTTAAGTGCCTTTCAGGCATTTGTGATTTCTTTATTGAGAATTCTTTCTGCCAGCTGCCTGGGTTTTACCGCCACTTTAGGGCCCTCAAATAATACACAGAGTTTTTTATTAGTTACAATGCTGCTGACCAATGACTAGGATTTCATATTTGTTAGCTCAGTCTTAATTATCAACCATAACTACTAATCTGTATATTTTCATAAGGACTTATCTTACTGAGAACGTTGTCCTTAAGAGTCCTCTCTTCCTGGGATCACATGGCGAATCTCCCCCTTTCCTACATTTCCTAGAATCCTCCTTCTCTCCTAGTTCCTCCTAACTTCCTTCCCTATTGGCCAACAGTGCTTTATTTATCAACTAATAAGACAAACATATATACAGAAGGACCTCCCCCATCAATTCTCTATTTAGATGTGTACTTCATTTTTTAATTGGATTTTTGGTGTTTTAGTGACTAGCATCTTGAGTTGTTCATGTATTTTGGAGATCAGTTCTCTGTCAGATGTGGGGTTGGTGAAGATATTTTCCCATTCTATGTGCTGTCATTTGTAGTGTTCTTGCAGTGGCCTTTTAATGGTGACAACATACCCTTGGACATGGATGGCCTCAGGCAAATGGAAGCAGAAAGAGGGATGCTTGAGACATGGTTTTCCATTGCATGGTCTTTCTCAGGGTTCTTTGTATTTTTCTGTGTAAGTGTTCCACAATAAATACACATTTATCATTTATCTTAGATCTAGTGAAATCATTACATCCTTCCTTCAGCTATTTTGTCTTGTTGACTATGTCTTTGCCTTACAGAAGCTTTTCAGTTTCAGTAAGTCCCATTTATTAACTGTTGATCTTCATCCTTAGCCATCAGGACAATGCAAATCAAAACAGCTCTGAGATACCATCCTGTCAGAATGGCCAAAATCAAAAACACCAACGACAGTTTATGCTGGTCACAAAAAGACAAACATGATATGTACTCACTCATATGTGGATTTTAGACATAGAGTAAGGGATTACCATCCTACAATCCACACTGCCAGAGAAACTAGTAAACAAGGAGGACCCTAAAAGAGACAAACATTGTCCCCTGGAGAAGGGGAAAGGGTCACCATCCCCTGAGCAAATTGAGAACATGGGAAGAGGGGGGAGGAAGCTATGAGAATGAGAAGGGAAGAAAAGGAAGGATGCAGAGGTCATGAGGGAGCAGAAATTTTGAGTCAGGTGTAAATTAAAAGAAAGGACATATGATAGGTAGGATTTTAGTTGGGGAGGGTGGTAGAGGAGGAAGGGAGGGAGAAGGGAACTGGGATCGTCATGTAATTCAATCTTGTTTGTAATTCAAATATATAAAAAAAAACTAAAAAAAAAGAATTAACATGTCAAGGATAGGTTGAGGACTATTTATGTCTCAATAGTTTAGATGAGGGCTGGAATGTGCTTTTGACCCCCAGTACCATACAGAGCAGAGCAGGAGGTAGTACACTGCTACAGTGTCAGCATTTGGGAGGCAGAAGCAGGAGGATCGAGAGCTCAAGCCCAGACTAGGATAATAAATTCATGTTTAAAAAAATTAGCTGGGTGTGGTGGCTCACACCTTTAATCCCAGCACTCAGGAGGCAGAGGCAGGCGAATCTCTGTGAGTTTGATGCCAGCCTGGTCTACAAAGCAAGTTCTAGGACAGCCTCCAAAGCTACAGAGAAACATTGTCTCCAAAAACCAAAAAAGAAAAGAAAAGAAAATGCCTCCTTAAGATCAGGCTGGAAGCAAGCCTGTAGGGCATTTTCCTAATTAGTGACCGGTGAGGGAGGGCCCAGCCCATTGTGGGCAATGCCATCCCTAGGCTGGTGGTCCTAGGTTCTGCAAGAAAGCAGGCTGAGCAAGCCATGGGGAGCAAGTCAGTAAGCAGCACTTCTCCATGGCCTCTGCATCAGCCCTGCCTCTAGGTGTCTGCCCTGCTTAAGTTCCTGTCCTGACTTCCTTCAATGTGCTATGGAAGTGTGAGCCCAATAAACCCTTTCCTCCCCAAATTGGTTTGGTCGTGGTGTTTTGCCACAGCAATAGAAACCCTAAGTAGGACAGGGGTTAAGTAGTTAAACTTCTTAGTTCTGGATTGGGATAATTTATTCTGTCTCTTCCCCACCAAGAGCTGTTATCATTGCCATTTTCCTTTTTATCAGATGCATCTAATGTTCAGATGATAGTGAATTCTGTATATAGCATTAGAACTCTATTGAGTTTAATTTATATTACAATAGTCTTCTAAGATATTAGTTTTGGAGCCAACAATATAGCTTAGTAGGTAATAAGTGTTTGCCACACAAGCCTAACAACCTGAATTTGAGCCCAACAATCCATGGTGGAAGAGAGAAAAACAACTCCCAAATTGCTCTGACTTTCACATGCACATTGTGATGTGTGCGCGCGCCTGCACTCATGCATGTTTCTGTCTCTCTCACACACACTAAAACAACAACAATAATAATGATAATTGATAAGTATTTTTTAAAAAAAATCCCTGGTTGGGGGTTCCTCTGCTGGTGCAATAAGCCAAATCAAACCAAAATATTAAGGCCAGATTTAGTAAACAGAGCAAAGCTGAGCGAAGCATCTCCCAGGTGACTCTCGGGAAGGCAAGAGAGAGATCACATGTCAGGTCTGGTGCCCAGGTCTTAAATACGTTGTAGACATGGTTTTGAGCAGCTAGCTCTGATGGAGGAGCTGACCCTTGGAGGGCTTTCTGAGGGGCAGGGTCTGGAATGGGAGGAGTGAGACTGGATCGGAGATTCCCAACAACAACAATAAGAATAACTAAAGGATATATTTGTCTTGTGTATTATTATAGTATGCAGTACATTTAAAACATTAGAAGTTGAATGTAATGGCACACACCTGCAATTCAGCACTCAGGAGGCTGGAGCAGGAGGATCATGATTTCTAGGCCAGCCTGAACTACATAGTGATGTCCTGTCTCAAAAAGCAAACAAAACAGAAATTAGAAGAAAGATACCAGTACCTCGATAGAAGCAGGAAGACCTTGTGGTATGATTCTAAATTTGTTTTTTCCCAGACGTAGATATGATAGACTCTTCAAAGATTTGAAAGCTAAAGGATTGACATTGATTTCACTGAGATTGTTTCCTTCCAATTCTAAGGTGACAAGCTGATTTAAGTCTAGAAAAATAAAATTATCCAAATATTAGAATAACTTTAAAACATGCAGTTTGGGCTGATGATGTAGCTAGCTCAGTGGCAGAGCACTTGCCTGAGACCTGGCCTAGAGCCTCAGCATTGTACAAAGAAGAAACAATAAAAAGAGAAAAGAAACCATTTGAAAAAATTCAATGTATTTGGAGATTTGTAATTTCTTTATCTTTGTTTCCCCCATAAATCTTTTTCCTGAGTATTTTATACATAACTTCTTCACAGCTCTGCCAGGACAAGAGTCACGGTTGGGAGAAATAATTCAGGTGTTGAAGGGTACAAATATGTATAAGGAGCAGAAACTAAGAAGAACAGAAAGTAGACAGAAGATTAAGAATCACCTCTAGAAGGCATGTTCCTTGTGCTGGCTAATTTTATCTTAGTTTTACACAGCTGGAGTCAGCTGAAAGGAGGGAATCTCAATTGAGGAAAAATTCTCCATGTATTCAGACTGAAGTACCAAGGAAGACCTTTATACAAACAAGTTTTTTTTTTCTTCCTACACTGTTTCTACTGGCCTTAGGAGTGGTATCATCGAGGTCAGATAGAGTGTGTACCACTCAACAGTGACATACCCAGGGGCCTCTAGGTCAGAGGTTCAGGGTGTAGACAGGATTCCCCGAAAATGGGATGTTTTCCTGCTCAACCTTTGTCATCAGCATTGCAGTGAATGCCCTGTGCAGCTTAGGCCTGTTCTGTGCATCAGCAAAGACAGTCACCTGAGAAGTAGAAATAAATGCCTGAAGCTTTTAAGAGAATGCAGTATTCTTGGGAATGGTGTGGAAGTGATAGTCTATTATGGATATAGATTTAGTTAGAGTTAAGAGGCGCGTCAGGTTGAAGCAGCCAAGTGGGCATGTGCAGATGAAAGGCCAGTTTGAGCTGCTAAAGTGGAGGCCTCACCCTGAGGTGAGCTATGTGCAGCAGGGTAAAACTGTTGAGAAGGAGTGCCGCTGTGCCCTTGATGTAGGTCTGGCTCTCATTCTATTTATACCCCATTGCAGAAATGAGGATGCTAGGACAAAACCACATAAGAACAGATTACTCTGGTGCTAGTTCTTAGGATCAATTAAGGATTGAGTTACAGGAAGTAGAGATTACAGCCAGGAAACTGTCCATAGTTATGTTTCTTTGTATGTTATTTCCAAAATTTAAGGTACATAGGATGCAGTATTTCCCTAATATATAGGTTGAGATCTTGAAGTATAGACATTCTCCATTGAAAAGTGGAGAGTAGAAGTAATTACATGATATTCTGTGAAGCAAGTTCACAATGCTTTGTGTTCTTATCTGTGCAGTTTCTTTTTTTGGTGGATGGAGGTACGAGACAGGATTTCTCTGTGTGTATGGTTTCTCTGGCTGTCCTGGAACTTGTTCTGTAGACCAGGCTGGCCTTGAACTCACAGAGATCTGCCCACCTCTGCTTCCTGAGTGCTAGGATTAAAGGCATGCACCACCATTGCCCAACTGTGCTGTTCTCTCCTCTGTCTCTATTTCTCTGTCTCTGTCTCTGTCTCTCTAGTGTGTGTGTGTGTGTGTGTGTGTGTGTGTGTGTTGGGGTAAAGAACTTTTTAGTTGGGTTAGATCTGAGGTCACTGTTGAAAAGATTCTGAACAAGAAAATAGATGTAAAAGACCTTTGCTGTGGGTAAGATCATGACATTGTAGGTACGATGGCATATTAGTGTTCCTGGTGGACTAAAGCAGCCAATGTCAGGTGACGTTGGTTTGCTTGTCTTGAGGCATGACAAGAATGTTCTGAAGCACATCCTGCTTTCCACTGCCCCTCCCTCTGCCCTTTACTCTTCCAGAAGGGTAGAACTTCCCTTTCTGTTTAGCACACATTCAGTGTCTCGGATACTCTCCTCCTTGTACACCCACCTCCCTCAGCACTGGACCACCAGCCCACCTTGCCTACAGCCCCTACAGCATTTAGAATTATCTCTTTCTTTCACATGCCTTCTCTCTCCTGGGTTTCCATTTCTCTGCATCTGTGATTGTTGAGTGGCCATTGGTGAGTAGTTGCAGGGAAGGATGACTAAAGAATGATGGTTTTTTTTTAGAGGCAACACACAGAAAAGCTGTGTCACAGCCCTGGGTGAGGTCATGTTCAGACTCACCTGCTAGCTGTTATCCACAGCAACAGAACTCACCAGAGGCAAGGGAGCCCAGCAGCTGCCTCAGCGAAGGAATATCCAGCATCTCAGGGGCTAAAACATAGCAGGACTAAGAACCCAGGCACCCAGTAATATGGGCAGGTGTCTTATGTTGAGAGAGCAGAAGAGATCTTCTTTTCTGGCTACCAGTATAAAACTGCAGCTTTCTCTGTGCTTAGTGCATATAGATAAGAGAGAAGATTCAGTCCATTCAGGTGTACAAGTCAACACTCTGGAAATATAGCATATTTGTTTGAGAGGGACAAAGTGTGCTGAGAAGCTATTCCAGAGAAATAGGAGAAAAACTTCAAAATAGGAAGTATATAATAAGACATGGTGGTTCAAGATTTTAAGTTCAAAGGCAGCCTAGACTACATAGTGAGACCCTGCCTCAGAAAAGAAAAATCAGTAATTTATAGTTTAATAGGGTATTGTTTTAATAGCAGAGCTAGAAATATAACAGAGTTTACATAGCCTATTTATATGCTTGTTCTCAGTTCTCTGTTCCTTTCAGTCTAACAGAGCACTTAGAAATTAAAGTTTCCAGTGTCCTTTCCATATGACAAAGCCCGTCGAAATCTGTGTTTATTAATGTTTTTCATGTGCACATTCAAATCCATCTGGAAACTGAATGTTTCCATAACTATGTAATCCTCACATTTGGCATTTCTCATAATTACTGTTCTTTCTCATCAATGGAAGTGTTTTTTTTTTCCTATGAAGTATTTTGGAAGTTAACAGAAGTAATACTTGGATTGTTTATTCCTTCATATGCACTCTTTTTCAATATTGCTTAATAACTGTGTTTCAACTCAAGTTAGCAGAAAGTGTTGGGCACTATACTTCCAGAGCAATGCTAGCTGGTTATGAAACTGGGAAAGAAAATCAGGCAGTCTTAAGGGAATTCACAAGCTAATCACAAAATGACACTTCTGTGCAGCTGTAGTTCCATAGCTTCAGCTGCCTATCGCAGAGAAAGAACAAGAACCCACTACAGCATGTTTAAGCAAGCTTCACTGAATTAATTGGCCATCAGAAAACCCATCTGTAGTGACAGCTTCCTTCATACATCATGTGGTATGGAATTAGCAGGACTTCACTCACACACTCATGAACAGAGCAGCCAAGGTTGCTACTGTATAACAGCACCCCTGTCCCACACATAGTGCACACATTCCTTCTTTACACAGAATTTCCATACACTTGGATTGAGGCTCCAGCATACAGAAAATTAAGTGGCAATGCTTATGGGTACAGTGAGTCACCCAAATAACATGGTGCCCAGGGAGAGTTAGGGCAACTCCTCAGATATCAAGGGCTTGTAAGAGAGTCACTGTGCTGTGAGTGATGAACACCTGGCATCATTAAGAAAAAGTTTTATTGAAGGGTAAGGCAGGTTGTTTTGTTTATTTTAAAGACAGCAAGACATTGAAAAGGCAATGGGGGCATATTTCTTGGGTAAGTGATTAAAGTTAGTTTATCAACTCAATGGTGAAGTAACCTAAAATCTCCTAGTTATGCATTTAGCAGTACTGTAAATAAATTTCTATAGGATAACACAAGAATGGCTATAAAAATATTTTTAAAGGCACATTTTAAAAATGTTGGTCTAGGAAAATGGCTCAGAGGGTAAAGTTAAAGCATAAGGACCAGAGTTCAGATCCCTAGCACTCTGGTAAAAGCTGGATGTGGCAGGACATGCCTACAACCTCAGCTCTAGAAAGCAGAAACAGACAGATCTGTGGACTTACTGGCCAGCCAGTCTAGCCAATCATCCAAGTTCAGTGAGAGACCTTGTCTCAAAGCGGGGGGAGGGAGAGAGAGAGAGAGAGGGAGGAAGGGAGAGAGAGAGAGAGAGAGAGAGAGAGAGAGAGAGAGAGAAGAGCTGACATGATTTACCTCTGGTCTGCAAACCATGCTCGAACACACACAGGATTTAAATACCTGATAAACTTTCTTCATCGATAGCCTGGAGATTGTTGTCATTTATTTTAAGTTCTTCTAGTGTAGATGGTAATTCTGAAGGAATGCGTACCAAATTATTTCCATCCATGTTCAGACGCATCAACTTCTTCAAAAACTTAAAAAACAAATCTTAAAATTACCATATTTTTCAGTCACAGATATTTCACACTATTTCCCATACAATGGTCAGTCTTATTTTATGAGGCCAGAGATTTTACCTTCTTAGCAGTAAACAAGTTTCATTAACTGCAAGCAGTAATTTAAACCTGTTGTGCATGCTAATAATTAATGTTAACGTATTTATAAAGTTTAATTTCCTATTTGTACTAACATTTATGCTAGAAAAGTAATCAGAAAATAACGCTATTCAGGTGGGCAGAGAGAGGGAAAGGATCTGGAAGGACTTGGAGGGGAAGAATATGATCAAAATATATTTAAATTGAAAATTGTCTTAAGTTATAAGAATATAAAAAATTTCAAAACCAAGTAATTGTATATGATTACCCAAACAGCTGACTATCTGAGCAGTAGGTTTCCTCATTACTAGTTGCATGCTCATTGAAGGCATATCTTGCACCACCAAAAGTGGAGAGCTGAAGTGAATGGATTTTTCTGAAGCCTTGTGGAACGATTGCTGTCTCCAGGAAACACAGGAATCATTTCCAAGTTTTACCAGGACAGAAAATCCCCAAATCAAGAAGCAGATAATCTATGACCTTTTTCTTTTACTCTATTATAGAATAGATACTGACCCTTATGCAGCTGTTGTTTGGTCAGAAGGATGGAGACTAGGAAGCAGGCACTGGGAGACCCCCCATCTGCCTGCCTAGACTCCAGAGAACTAGGAGAGAATCCAGGAGGCCAGTCATGTGTTTCAAGGGCAGATTGAGGGCCCAGAATATTATCCAAAGGGGGGGAAATTAACAGTGTGCTTTACATATGACTTCAAAGCACATAATCTGTGTAATCCCATTTATGCATACCAACTTTTCTTCTCTTCTATTTTTGTTTCCCTGAAATTCCTTGATCTAGATGAGTATTTTCTCCTTTTTCAAAAGAAAATTTTCAGTCAAATCTGTTTTCTTCAAATGTTTCCCTTGTACTTTTGCTGCCCTATCTCTTTCACTCCTCTCTTTATCTCATGCTAAACTTCATTGAGCTCATATGTTTTTTAAACTCTCCCTGCCAAAATATTCTCTACCACATTCTGTCTACTGTGCAAACGTAAGAAAGCTTCACTTTACTGGCCTGACCATTTTAATAGAGGCTCTAAATATGCTCTCCTTCATTACTGGACAATTCTTCACACACTGAGAGACCAGACTTTCAATGAATTTTCACCTACTGGGGAGAAACTATTCTTTAAATTCAAAACATTAGTTATGTCTAATCTTATTGTTGCTATTCTTCTCATAACATTAACATATGTAAAGCAGCAAACTATAAGCAAAAGAAAACGTGACTATAATTTAAGGACATCAGAGAAGTAACAATGTAGAAGAAAATTAACAATAAAAACCTTTCTGCTTATTTTTCCCTTCCCCACCTCCAACCAAAGCCAGTAGGAGTCATCTTGTTATGTTACATACTAATGGAAGTGTGTACCTTGAAGGCTTTTGGACCTATGCCTGAAGAAGTGATATTATTTCTGCTCAGATCAATCCTTTCCAAATTTGGTAATCCATTAAATGCTTCATCCGGAATGGAAATGATTGAATTCCCTAGGATGTACAATCGTTGTATTAGAAATGTGTGCATATATAGACGTGTGTGTGTGTGTGTGTGTGTGTGTGTGTGTGTGTGTGTTTGTGTGTGTGTGTCTGCATGAATATTGGGAGAGCTTTGTATGGGAAGAAAAGCAATATTCAGGACAAGGACAGGAAATATATAAACAGATGCATACTTGGAAAAATAACAAGATTGGGATGAGGTAACTTAACAGTCAAAAGTGTGTCTTGGTCAGGACCTCATGTTTCAGGTGAAGCTATTTAAAATAACTACAATAATCTGTTGGACAGGGCTAGTAGCATCATGCATTCATAACAAAGACATGTTTCTCTGAGGGTAGACAAAAACTGTTTCCTTCATATTTTTCATTGCCATTTCCCTGGACATAGAAACATGATGCTGTTTATCTCCAAGAAATCAAAGGAGAAGCACTCAGTGTCTGAGCACATTTCCTTCTCTGTAAAAGAAGCTTAGGATGATCCTGTCTCATATACCCAACCATATCCGATCGTATACCTTTGTCTTCAAGGTAAAGGATCCTACATCCATCTGTTTTTTGGGGTTTTTGTCTTAACATTTGGCTAGGTACAGTCATAAATGGTTTTAAATACCTTCTTGCAAAACAATGACTGTATAGCCCTATATGGGAGATATTTCACTAATTGAGTTTCTATACGGCAGAGGATACCTGCCACATAGGCCACAGGAAAATGTTTTGCCAGGCATTTGAATTCTTTAAGTGATTTTACATGAAAACCTATTGTCCAGGAGACCACAGAAATTTGTTTGACATTGGCAGTGTCCTATTGCAGACTTCTATTCCTGCACATGTATCTTAGACACATCCAGATCTACTCGCCTCTACATTCTAAGGGCATTATAAGCCAAACACTCATATAAATGAGATCTTAATACTCCACCACTCAGAACTTTCCCTGGTAGCCTGATAGAGACATGGGCAAAAGGTCTGGTCACTACATTCTCATTGGAATGGCTAAAGGAAAGAAAACAGCTGGTGCTGCCATCACTGAGATTGTGGAATAGACTGTGGCAATGGGACAGCTACCTTAGAACATGTTAGGTAGTTTTTTAAAAGTCTGTGGCCATCTCTCTTAGCCCATTGTGCTGTCTTTAGGAGTAGTAAGAAATGAAGGTATAGGTCCCTACAAACATCTGTATATGGATGTCTTAGCAACTACAGACAAAATTGCCTTAAGCTGGAGAAAAAAAATCACACATTCTCTAGCTGATTTATACAATAGGACACTGCTCAGCATTAAAGGAAAATGAGCTAGTGGTTATTAAAGCATTAGAAGTCTAACCACAAGGCTACTTACTGTGTGATTCTAGTGAAACTCAAAAAACAATCAATAAACACAGAAAACAGGTCAGTTTCTATGGTGGCCACAGTGGAAGAGCTGGAGATATGAGGAATCCGGTGAGTGATGGAAATGTTCTGAATCTCAACTATGGTAATATTAATATTTATAAAAACTATAGAACTATACATTATAAAGCTTTATGATACAGACAAAGTGTACCCCACCAAAGTCATTTTTTAAATGTTCCTGAGGAAATCACCATTTGGTTAGTTTGCTCTAAATCTAACTGAGCCATTCTTCACTGTGTGTGCATCTCTTCTGCACAGTTGATCTGTATGAAGACAATACAATTAGTTCCTATTAAATTAAAGCAATATTCATAGGGCAGTAAGATTCGCCATTTATATCTGAACCCAAAATAAATCATCTCTTACCAGCCAGCTCCAGGCTTGTTACTTCTGGAGCTGTTATTGGTGGGATCTGGGTGAAGGATGCGTGAATGCAACTGATGGTCCTATAGGACAGGACACAGCTTCCGGGCAGGCGTGGCCTGCCTCTTGGGGCACCAGGCATTAACCTGGAGGGCATTCGGAACACATCTCCTCTTACATCCTCCTCCTCTTCCTCTTCCCTCTCTCCTTCCCTCTCAGTCTCTTCCTCGTCGTCTTCTCCCTCCCCTTGTCCATGGTAGAGTGGTTCATGTGCTGATTGCCCTTCCACCTCAGGCCTCGGCTTGCCCTCTGCTCTTTCCTCATCACTGTGAAGCTCAGTAGGCCCAGAGGTTTCTTTCTTGTGATCCATATGTTCTTTAATTTCTTCCTCATCCTCCTCAGATTGAAGAGCTGCTTTTATGACTACTTGGTCCATTTCCATCTGAGGAGGTGGCACTTGCTTGTGAAGTATGTTAATGGATTCTCTTTGTTCTGAAGAATCACCAGAAAATTTAGTTTTACCATTTAAGTGTTCTACCACTGAGTAGAGAATAGGAGACTACTGATCACAGAAGGATAAAGTAACCAGGGGTAACTTGATGATGTTAATAAATGGAAAACTTCATAATGAAAATGAGGTTAATAAATATCATTCCCTCTACTTGACTGCTATGTAAAGATTAAATGCAGTTCAAGTTTTTCCATGAAGTTAACTAACTTTATTTCTCTTTTGTAGGACTTGCTGTAGATACATGATTTTTGTATCTGTGAACCTTAGTACTGCTTTTTGCATTAAATAATGTGATACTTATTTTAACTAGAATATGATACTAATCAGCAAACTAAAAAAGGAATAATAGTCAAGTGGTGTTGGCATACACCTTTAATCCCAGGACTTGGGAGGCAGAAGCACGCAGATCTCTTGAGTTTGAGGTCAGCCTGATCTACAGAGGGAGTTCCAGGACATCGAGGCCTACACAGATAAACCCTCACTTGGAAAACAAAAAACAACAACAAAAAAGAGGGAATAATATTGCCACGTTATACAAAATAGAAAGCTGTTTTATTGTGAGGCTTTGATACTATTAGTTAGTATGCCATTATAATAGAAACTGTTCTTTAGCTCTTTGGCAGACAATGGAGAAGATACATTCTAGATTTAGTCTCACTTTGAGTGTAAAGTTCTAAAGAGAAATGAGTTCATAATGCATAAATTTTCTTCCATCAAAATGTATAAATATATTCATCACTCTTTTTTTTAAATTGATATATAAGCTATCACCAGAAGGAACACAAAAATCAAAAATATAATTATTTGAACACCCTCTGTAGACCACTTTGGCCTCGAATGCAGAGATGCACCTGCCTCTGCCTCCAAAGTACTGTGATTAAAGGCAGATGCCACAACCACCTGGCTTCAAGAATTTTTTTCCTTTACATCCATAGTAAAACATGCAGAAGAAGAGGGGGAAATTAGTAAATGGAAGCAAAAGATATCATATTTAAACTTTTAAAATCCTTTCTGTTTCCAGATTTACTTATCTAAAATAACTACATTTCAAAAAGATTCCAAATCCTTTGAAAAATATCTAATAATTTCAGAATCTTGCCTATAATCACCTTGTATTTTATTTCAAGGACACGGTTTTAATGAGCACACCTTCTAACATTTTTAGAAAGTATAATGCTTTGGATCAGGCTTGATGGTGCATGTCTTTAATTCCAGCACTTGGATGGCAGAAACAGAGGCAGGGGAATTTCTGTGAGGCCAGCTGGTCTTGCATAATACGTTTCAGGCCAACCCCAGCTACATAGTGAGAACCTGTCTCAAAAGAAAGTACAGCGCCTTAGCGAAATAACTAACAGTGTGAAGCAAAAAGCGGTTTCTAAAGATTCTGAAGTTCCTCCTAGCAGGAGGCTTTTAGATACCTGTCCTCTGGTCACCTGTGGGGGATGGGGAGAACAGTCTGCCTTGATATTGACAAGAGAAAATGTCCCTATCTGTACCTGTCAAATGATTTAACAACTGTTTATTTTCATAAGTCACTAGCTAAGCTTTCTTCCAGGGGACCTAAGCCACTTTCAGGGGGCATCTCCATTTGTTCAGGAACAAGTTTCATTTGAGAACAGGTCTGCAGGCATCCACTGAAATCCATGCTATCATCTCCTAAATGGAAGTGTCACCCAAGAAAACCAAGTCCCAGACCACACCTGTGTGTTTTGCTGGGATTCCTAAGACCACTGTTGGACTCCTTGCTGCCTGTGGGCTGATGGATGGGAAGAGCCAGGAGGATTGAGGCTTTCATTGCTCTGATTATAAATCATTGTTCTCATGATAGTGATTAGTATACTCCTGACACAATTGATGAATCAATCATTAATAGAATGATGCATATACAAACAGACCCTCCCTGAACTAGTGAAACCCTGAACTAGTTACTGAGTTGGGGTTTATTGTAGGAATTCTGTCACTGTGTCTCTAAAGCCTTATAAGATTCACACATGAAGCCAGGCATTGGTGGCGCACGCCTTTAATCCCAGCACTTGGGAGGCAGAGGCAGGTGGATCTCTATGAGTTCGAGGCCAGCCTGGTTTCCAGAGCGAGTGCCAGGATAGGCTCCAAAGCTACACAGAGAAACCCTGTCTCGAGGAAAAAAAAAAAAAAAAGATTCACACATGAAATAAAACCAAGTTTGATTTGAGTTTGAGTCAGTCTGAGAGTTAGAACTATAGATCCATAATCTCTTTCTGTACCCTAAATACATTTTCCTAGATATTTCTGTTTATTGGCACTGATCTGCATTTTAAGTACCTTTAGGACTATGTTTATAATAATTTGCACCCTAATGTAATGATAAAATAAGAACAAATAGAAATTAAAGACTAAATTATCTGTGGTACTTTGTTTTATATTGTATACCAGCATCAGAGCAGATGGGGCAGCATTCTCCTTCTGGTTTAATGGTATAGGGGCACGCCTTGGGGTGGCACACAGTCTCATCACAAAGTACTCTTCCATTTGAGCAGAGGCAGGTGCTGCAAGGCTCAGGAGACCAGACAGCTTTGTTGTACATGATCATGCCCTTTACAAAGCAGTGACCTTTCTTTCCTAGAAAAAAAGAGAACACGGTTGGTTGGTTGGTTGGTTGGTTGGTTGGTTGGTTGGTTGGTTGGTTGGTTGGTTGGTTGGTTGAAACAGGGTCTCTCTATTACATAGTCCTTGCTGCTCTGGAATTCACTATGTAGACCACAAGGGAACCACCTGCCTCTGCCTGCTGAGTGCTAGGATTAAAAGAGTATACCACCATGCCTAGCAGGAACACATACTTAACTGCCTTCAGTGATTATCAGAATCCATGAATGGACAGAAACATGATGCAAAGTCAGAATTATATAACCACCTGAGAATAGAGATCTTTATGCACCCATGCACAGATTAAATGCCCTACAGACTTGCTGTCTGAAATGCTTTTCATTGGCTATCTGTTATGCTGCTGAGTGATCTCCTCCTAGTAACTTGACTTAGAATTTCCTGTCTATCTTGTATCTGTCAAGATAAGCTAAGTTTTGTCACAGGACAACCAACCTTCAAAATCCAAGTATTTGGACTGGAGAGATGGCTCAGAGGTTAAGAGCACTGGCTGTTCTTCCAATGGTTCTGAGTCCAATTCCCAGCAACCACATGGTGGCTCACAACCATCTGTAGTAAGATCTGACACTCCCTTCTGGACTGCGGGCATACATGCAGACAGAATACTACATAGTAAATAAATAAATCTTTTTAAAAAAGCAAGCATTTGTCATTTACATAAAAGGGTACAGTCTTGACATTGCTGGGACTCAGCTTATTGGTGTTGTGTTTTCTGTTTTAATGTAAGCCAGTGCCTTGCACTTGTTCTAATCCCAACTAGGGAGTCTGAGGCAGGAGGATTTTTGATCTAGGAGTGTAAGACAAGCTGGGTAACATAGTGAAACTCCCCATCTCAAAAAAGTAAATTAATCAGCCTGGTCTACAGAGCAAGTTCCAGGACAGACTCAAAAGCTGCACAGAGATCTCCCTGTCTCAAAAAAAGAAAGAAAGTAAATTGAACCTACATATAATAACTTAATGGTAATTTTTCTTTCTGAATCTGAATTACCTCAATATAATAACTTTGGTTCTTTAAAATTTTTATTTTTTATGTGGGTGGATGTTTTGTCTGCATGTATGTATGTGTACCACATGAGTGTAATGCCCTCAAAAGTCAGAAGAAGGAATCCCCTGAGACTCTTTGGTTTTTTGAGACAGGGTTTCCCTGTGGCTTTGAAGGCTGTCCTGGAACTAGCTCTTGTAGACCAGGCTGATCTCAAACTCACAGAGATCCGCCTGCCTCTGCCTCCCGAGTGCTGGGATTAAAGGCATGCGCCACCAACGCCCGGCCCCTGAGACTTTAATTGCAGACTGTTGTTCACCTCTTGGGTGCTGGTGGCTGATTATGGTTCTTCCATAAGAGCAGCAAAAGATCTTAACCACTGAGCCATCTCTTCAGCCCTGGTATAGTATTGTTTAGATCCATCTATTTTCTCTTATGTTAATTTTAATTTTTATATGTGTGTTTATATAATGCATATATATGAGTGTGAGTATTGGTATAGGTTGTAAAGTGGGAAGATAATGGAACACAAGTCAAATGAAAGCGTAAGAGAGGACCCTGGGAGTAGGGTGGGAAGAGAAAAAGTGAGGAGGAGGAGGAGGATCAACCAAAATATGTTTGAAAGCACTACAGAGAAATCTAATACTTTATATTTAAAATAAAACCTTTTTATATTTTATTTTTAACTGTGTGTGTGTAGGATTGTGCATATGAGTACAGTGCCTGTGGAAATCAGAATAAAATACAGGATCCCGGAGAAGTAGAATTATGGGTGGACGTGAGGCACCCAATATAGATGCTGGGAACTAAATCCCCTGACTGAGCCATCTCTCCAGTCCCTAAATATTTTTGAATAATTAAATGATACCTTTCATAAAAAATAATGTTTTCCAACCAGTAAATAAAAGTGCTCTCCATGGAAGGAGGAAATTGACATCTTAGGGTTATCCTCTGGCTTTTACATATGTGCTGTGACATGTGACACCCACATACATGCACATATCTAGCACATATAAATAATAAATAAAAATATAAAGTAAATTTTAAAACAATGTTAAGTAAGTTTGGGGGCTTTTACTATCCTTCCATAACTTAACTAGCTTTTCATTTAACTGAGATGATGTCTTTATTGTTCTTAACACTGATGGATACACTTGTTATTTATATTTATAGCAAATATAGCCTAATTTTCCTTTTTTCATATAATTGTTTCTGTTAACTTGATGAAAGAATAAGGCTAGTGGCTCTTAAACAGGGTATGAAATACCGACTGCAGATTATATGATGGTTTGGGTTTGTTTGTTTGTTTGTTTGTTTGTCTTTTCCAAGTTTTATTTAATGGTAACATATTTACATAAGACAGATATATATATATACATATATATATGTATATATATTTTTTTCTAACTTAGAAAATTGTTAATTATTAAATGCTATTTTCAAAAAATAACTACTTGAAATCCTTGGCAGAGTTTCCAGTCTTTTCATCCTTTAAAAAGTCAATATGCTGACAGGCGGTGGTGTTGATACACACCTTTAATCCCAGCACTCAGGAGGCAGAGGCAGGCGGATCTCTGTGAGATCAAGACCAGCCTGGTCTACAAGAGCTAGTTCCAGGACAGCCTCAAAAGCTACAGAGAAACCCTGTCTGGTGGGGGTCGGGGGAAGAGTCAGTATCCTAGCACTCAGGAGACAGAGGGAGGTGGACTTCTGTGAGTTCAAGGTCTACCTAGTCTACAGAGTAAGTTCTAGGACAGCCAGAGCTGTTACACAGAGAAACTCTGTCTTGAAAAACCAAATTACAAAAAGAAAAGGTCAATGATGGGGATCTCTTCCATACAAATGTTTCTCTTATTGCTTGATGAATAAAGCTCTGTAGCCAATGAGGCAGGACGATAGGTGGGACCAGGAGACAAGGAGGCTTCTAGGAAACAAAGGCAGAGTCAATCACCATGTAGGACATGAGAAGGAGTAACAGGTCCAGACTCTTTCTCCAGTAAGATAAGACCATGAGGAAATACTTAGATTGATAGAAATGGATTAATAATTAGACAGAGCTAGCCAATAAGAAGCCCAAGCCAATGGCCAACAGTATTATAGTTAATATAAGTCTTGTGTGTTCATTTGGGGCTGATGTGGCTCTGGGGCCAGACTGATGGGAAGAATGCCCGTAACAAAATGTCACCCAACATGGGGCCAATTGAAGGTGAGGATGTAATGATATCACTAGCCCCAAGATAAATGATAAATGGGTGTTTATTGGGGAACAATTACACAGAAAAATACAAAGAACCGCCAGAGCGCTCCCCTGTTCTTCCTACCAGATCCACTGACCCAACAGAAAGAGCGCGCCAACAAAAGCTATGCCTCAAGCTCTTCTCTTTCTGCTTCCATCCACCTGAAGCCACACCCAAAGGGATGTGGGCTGTTGTTTCTGGTCCACAGACCAGATGCCCACAGGTCAATATTCTGTGTGAAATAAATTCAGTGACTTTTGTTCCATATTTATTTAACAAAACTTTGTTTTGAAAATATTTAAATATCCCTGTGTCAAAGCCATTTATTTGATTGGCTTCTACTCTAGATGATGTCATAATAAGTAAAGGGCATTTTACTAATTGATACATATATTGTTTGTATTGTGAATAGATCATTTGCACCATTTGATAATTATAATTTTATAGTGCAAAATAAGGTTCTCGCCTGTCTGTGTCTGTGGGAGGGTGTCAGATCCCATGGAACCAGAGCCACAGACAGTTGTGAGCTGCCATGTGAGTGCTGGGACTTTAATTTGGTGACTCTGGAAGAGCAGCCAGTGCTCCCAGCCACTGAGCCATGTCTCCAGCCTCCTTGAATACTTTTTAGTTATTTTAAAATCTGTGTTTATATATCAAAAGGTAGCAAAAAAAAAAAAAAAAAAAAAAAACTTATTTTCCCCCTTTGGAGAGTTCCTCCAATACAGATGTGTTGTCCCTCAGACATTCTCTTACCTGGTAACACACTATAACTCGATTCTGCTCCAGGAGAACTTAGAAGGAATTCTAAGTTTTCCTCCACACTGTAAACAGGGTTCACAGCGGGTAGCCTAGCTTCGGATGCAGCAGTTGTTGGCTGAATTTCAGGCTGCCTGTTTGCTGTGTGATGGAATGAGGAACTTTTCCTGAGTCTTCTCTGATGTTCCTTCCTTCTTTGCTTCCTAGTAGTTTGTTCACAATCGGTTTGGAAAATGATAAGCAGAATGAGGCAAAACAAAACTGCATGTTTCATATTTGATTTTTTTTGTCACCAACGAACTTCTAAAAGGAAACAAAAGTTCAAGTTAGTAGAGACTACAGTTTTTCTCTAGAAAGTTGACTTAGCTGTCTGATTATGCAGCAGCAGGGAGGCTTTGAGGAGTAGCACCAACGTGATGTGTGGTCTGGATCACCCTGCAGTGGCACTACCACGTCAGATTTTGTTACCTCTGTATCTCTAGACCAGGTCTGAGCCAAGTGTTTCTATCTGTAAAAGGCCAAATAGTAAATGTCTAACCCTTTATGGATTATTTGTTCTCTATTCTAACTATTCAGTTCTGTTATTGTAATCTAGAATCCGCCATAGCTGTTAGGTGACTGTGGCTTTGTTCCAGTTAGATGGAAATGGCCTGCAGCAGCTGTTTTGGTAAAAGTTCACCATCTGAACCAGGCATAGAAGCACACCTGTAATCCAGTCCAGGCAGGAGGGCTGAAAGCTGGAGTCAGCCTTGGAGACCAGCTTGTGTCTCTGCATCAAATTGTAGCTTATGGCAGAATTTTTAAAAGCATGTACAACTCCCTGGATCCAATCTCTAGTTCTTTTTAAAAAGGCAAAAGACAGGGTGGTGGAATGGCTTAGCGGAAAACTGTGCTTGCCACATAGCTTAGCAATCTGAGTTCCATCCTTGGGACCAACATGGTAGGTGAGAAATGACTTCCAAGAGTTGCCCTCTCATCACCACGTGTGCTCTGTGGCGTGTATAGGCATGCATGTTCACATGTCCAGACAGTAAGTAGAATTTTAATTAAAAATAAAAATTATATAGAAGAAAATATTTTGTGATATATAAAATCATATGAAGTTAAAATTTTATTGTTTCAATATAAAGTTTCATTGGAGCACAGCATGATTGTTTGTTTGTGTTGTTTGTATCTTTGTGCTACGAGCCAAGATCAAGCCTGGAAGATGTAAAATTTAGACTAAAGAGCCTAAGTTTGTACTCAAAGCTTAGAGCAATGCCTCTGAATTGGGGATGATTTGTCCCCCCGGGGACATACAGCAATATCTGACTTGTATAGACATTTTCAGTCATGTAGTTGGGAGAAGCTCTACAGGTGTCCAGTATGAAAAGGCAGAGGGTACTACTGATCATCCTACAGGGTACAGTCTTCCACAACAAAGAATTAGCTGAGCAAAATATTGGTAGTGCTGAAGTGGAGCAGCCTTGATTGAGAGAAATGGTTACTATAGGTTTTAATCATTACACTGAAGTGTTACTATAGACAAAACAAACTGCATTTTATTTGGGCGGAGTCAGTGGTTATCAAAAGGAAGACTGGGAAATGAGTTGTTTCTATATGATAACCTCCTTCTTAAAGTTTTCTCATAATTCCAGGCTTGCTTTTCATTTTATCTCTTTCCAATTCTAGTACATAAGCATGTTAGGGACGAATAACCCAGCTGCATTATCCTTTGTTTGATTATCTGGCACACAACAGTAATGTTGATATCACTGTCCATATCAAGTATGTAGCCTATGTATTCCAAAGTGTTTGATTTATGTTTCCCCTCCAGTTTGATGTTTCTTTTCCCATTTCTGAGAATTGAACTCAGTATCTTTCACATTCTAGATAACCACTCTACCACTCAGCTGACAGCTCCAACCTTTTCTTCACTTTGAGACAGTGTGTCTTTAAGTTACCAATATGGCCTCAAACTTGAAGTCCTCCTGCCTCAGCCACCTAGGTAAAAACATGCAACACAGCATTTCTGTGGCGCTCAGGTGACAACACGCATTTCTGTGGCGCTCAGGTGACAACACGCATTTCTGTGGCGCTCAGGTGACAACACGCATTTCTGTGGCGCTCAGGTGACACTGTTGTTCCCAAGCATCTGCATGGGTCAAGTGCTGCTTCACTGCATACAGTGCACTTTGACTGAGTGTCTTTGACATCATCTACATTTCTTTTTTTTTTTTTTTTTTCCTAGACAGGGTTTTTCTGTGTAGCTTTGGAGCCTATCCTGACACTCGCTCTGGATACCAGGCTGGCCTTGAACTCGCAGAGATCCACCTGCCTCTGCCTCCCAAGTGCTGGGATTAAAGGCATGTACCACCAACGCCTGGCCTACATTTCTTCTAATAGAGAATTCATTATCCCCTTCCTCACTATCTGTGTCCATTTGATACTGTTAGAAAGTTCTCCCTTTGGCCAAGCTTGTCCACATAATAGCCCATAAGAGATTAAAAATAAAAATAATGTCTGCAGTTTTCTTCTGGACTCCTATTTTAACTAGTGCTTTAAAAATAAATTTACATTTGTAAAAATGATACCTATTTTAAAAAAACAAATGATACAAAAGTGTATACAGCTGAAAAGACAAGTTGTCCTAATCATCATTTATTACAAGCATAGTCAAATATTTGTATCAAGGGCCGAAGAGTAACTATTTGGGGCTTTGTCTATGTCAGAGATTTTCAGCCTTCTTCTTATGACCCCAGAGTAATCTTCACCATCATTTGACTAGGTAGGCCTAGCGATGCTCTGATAGTGCTGTGTTCAGCAAACAAAATTTGGTATTTGAGCCATGGTTTACCAGCCCCAAATTCAGCATATCCTTCATGACCTCTTCTTTTAAAACAAAAAAATACATTATGTGTACAGTGTTGTTTTACATGTATCCCTACTGGCCAGAAGAGGGCACTAGATCTCATTACAGATGGTTGTGAGCCACCATGTGGTTGCTGGGAATTAAACTCAGGACCTCTGGAAAACCAGCTAGTGTTCTTAACCACTGAGCCATCTCTCCAGCCCCCTTTCATGACCTCTTCTAAAAACATATGCTCATATATATTTAGACATAAATATACTAAATATATATATTTAAATATAAATGGGAAGTCTATCTATTACACTCCAACCTTTTATCCAGTCAGCAAGAAATACTAAGCATGTGGGTTCACCTGTCAGTATGTTCAAAAGCAGTCTATCCAGCCTGTTTTCATCTTGTGAATTACTTAACACATTTGGTATCTGATAGTTTAGCATTTCTCTTTTTTGTTTTCTTTAAAACTGGCTCCATTACAGTCTAGACTATTCTTCACCTTTCTGTGTAGCTGAATTTATCCTTGAATTCCTCATCCTCCTGCCTCTCCTTCCCATATGTTGGTGTTACTGAATACTCAGAAACATTCTTAGTCACACATCTTCTGGAAGCATTTTCATATTCTTAATTTTATTTTTAAGTTTACAAATAATGTATTAGCGGGGTCTCTTTTTTTTTTTTAACTTACCATTTTGGCCTTTATGTTGCTTGGCACTGATAAGTTGCTTTGGTCAAGTTTATTAATCAGTGTTAAAGCTGTGTTATGTGCATGTACAGCTTCAGAGTTGTCTTATTTTCCTGGTGCTTTCATCACTAGTTCGAGGCTTCTTTCAGTATGTCAACTAGTGCTCCAGGCAGAGCTACTTTGTCTAATACTGATGTAGCTACTTTGGTAGCTACATTCATTTTGGTAATGTATACTTGGCATTTTTGTACCATTTTGCTTTTAGCCTTTCCATAGTATATTTTTCATATGCTCTTTGAATTTTAATGCAGTCTGACAATCTTTATATTTGGTAGGAACATGAAACCCATTTATACTTAATGTTATACTTTTCCCTCTTTCTGAGCAATGCTAGAGCCAGGATGGCTTTAGTTCCAGTTACCCTTTTTCTGGAATAAAAGCTGTTTGCATCAAATACTTAAATTCTCTCTATATATTTTAAAAAGCACATCAATAGATTATCATGAAAAGATTATTTTTTCAGGCTGGCAAGATGGCTCAGTGAATAAAGGTGCTTGCCATCAACCCTGATAACATGAGTTTGATCCCAAAAACTCACACAGTGGAAGGTGAGCACTGATTTCCCCAAGTTGTCCTCTGACCTTCACAGACAGATACACCATTGCACACATGTACAAACACAATAAACAACAAATAACTGTAAATAAGATTCTTGTCATTGCTCTGAATCAAAAACCATTTAGATCAGACTTTTTGAACTTCTTATCAGGCCCAGATTATTCTTTTGTGGCCTGTGTGCTATAGGATATTTAACAGAATTCTTGACCTCTTTCACTAGCACGATCTCCAGTTATGACAACCAAGACCACCATCAGACATTACCAAATGACCTGCTCCGCATCAGAGAGTCACTTCCTTAGATTCCCCTAAACTCTTAGGGGATAATCTCATCCTTTTCCTGTGTCTCCAGATCTTTATTCAGATTTTCTTTGTCATTCAAAAAGTGCATATGCTAATTCATCCTGTGTAGTTCTGTTGAAAACCAACTCTTTTTTTTCAACTGAAAATATTTTCATACTACCTTAATTTTGAAAGTACATGTTTGCTGGATAGATTTTTAGGTTAATAGTGGTTAACATTTCTAAGATACCATTTGTATCTTTTTGTTTGTACTGATTCTGCTTTTTGTTTTGTTTTGAAACAAGGTCTTATGTAACCCAGACTGGCCTCAAACTTGCTATAATCATGGATGACCTTGAATTTCTAATCCTTTTGCCTACACATCTCCTGAGATCCCAACAGTAGCCACCATGACTTCCTATGTTGGTTCAATTGAGAAGTCATGACTCAATCAAACTACTTCCTTAAAAATAGTATTTTTTTCTGACCATTTTTTGGATGTTCTCTTTGACCTTCAGATGTTTAATCTGATACACATAGAAGGTATGGGTCTCTTAATTCTATTACATTTGGGATTCATGATACATTTTGAATGCTTGCTTTCTTTCTTTCAAGACTGGTTTTCTCTGTGTAGCCCTGGCTGTCCTGCAACTCATAGAGATCAGCCTGCCTCTGCTTCCCGAGTGCTGGGATTAAAGGCATTGCCCAGCTCTGTGCTGGATTTGTTTTGTTTTGTTTTGTTTTTGTTGCTGTTGTTTTAAACTGCCATCTCTTTATGCGTTAGCACTTCATTCTTTTAGGAACTACAGTCTCATTATGTCTTTTCCATGTCACTCTTTATTGTATTTTTGTTCTTTAGTTGCCACATGATTCATCCTCACAAGTCTAACTGACATAGATTATTAACACTTTCTTCAGCTGTGGCTTATGCATTATTAAATTCATCTGTTGGCCTCCTTGTTTCTTTTATTGTATTTCTTAATTTTCAGTAAACTCATTATTTGTAATTAATTATATACCACAATTTTAATTTCATATTCTATTCTGAAGCTCAGGCTTTCCGAGCCCTCTTCTTGTCTGTGCCTATCATCTGCTCTTTAGAACTTTAGCCATGTTCTTCCATCTCTCCATGTGTCTGATGCCTTTTGAATTCATGCCAGACATTATATAAACACTCATGAAATGTTAGGCTCTAGGGTGATGTATTTTCTGTCCAAAGAAGGTTTTCGCATTTTCAGTGTGGTGTTACAGACACTGTCAATAATGCATCGAGTGATTTGAAGCTGGGTGTCACTGTATCAATATCATCACATTGTGGGTCTTGTTTTGCTAATGTCACAATCACCAATCCCATCCCCCCTGCTGCTGGCTCTAGTCTTTGTTTTGTGTTTCTCCCTAGCCTTGTGAAGCTATTTTAAAGGTCTGTTGAGCTCTCAACCCCTCTTCTGGAATCCACAGATGTCTCCAGAAGCAAAGCAGTTTCAGACCTGAAACAGTCTGGGTTTCAGTCTTATTCCAAACACTGGTTCTGTTTTTCTCATCTTCCTATTTGTTCTCAGCAGATGAGTAGATCTGTTTTCCTTGCCAGAGGAAGCGCCTTCAGATTCCTTTTGTTCTTTTTTAGATGTGGTAAATATTAGAATCTTAAATGTCTGAAAATATCTTGTTTGGTTGAAACTAGAATTATACCTTCAAAATCATTTTCCCTGAGTTTTCAGATACCAGCTGATTATTTTCCTTCTCTCACACCTTGTTTCCTTTTGTTTTGCTTGGATACAGGGTCTTGCTATATAGTGAGGCTGGCCTAGAGCTAACAATGTAGACTTGGCTGACCTTAAACTTGTGGTGATCCTCCTGCCACTGCCTCCAAGTCTTAGAACCACAGGTGTTAGCTACCACATCCAACTTGGTCCAATCTTGCAGTATTGTGGAGAAGTGAGTTCAATTGTCATCCCTTTGTAAGAAGCTTTTCTTTCTTTCTTTCTTTCTTTCTTTCTTTTTTTTTTTTTGGAGGAGTGTGGAGTTAGTGTTAGATTTTTATTTAAATTAGATATAAAGAAAAGGAAGACTCAAGATGAGACATATTAGACTTATGAACCAGTTTACTATAGGCCTGGCAGAGTAGAGAGACTAAGAAAGAAGGGAAACAGGGTTAATGGCTGAACGCCATGGCCGAACGCCATAGAAAGAGTAGGTGAGAGAAGAGAAGAGCAGAGGAGAGCGTAGAGAGAAGAGTAGACTAGAGAGCAGAGAGAGAAGAGGAGAGAGAGAGTAAATGGGCAGGGGTCTGTCTTTTAAAGGGGTCCTCTGAACCTGTGTGCAGACTTAGTTCCCATGGAACCCTGGACTGACCAGGGTACTGCCTGTTCTGCCAGGTAACGGGCAGGCCAGCATTATGCCTGAACCTTTCAGTTAGGGTTTGTTTTTTGTTGTTGTTTTGGTTTTGGTTTGTTTGGTTTGTTGGGTTTTTGGTTTTTGTTTGTTCATTTTTGTTTTTCAAGACAGGATTTCTCTGTGTAGCTCTGGCTGTCCTGGAACTTGCTCTATAGATCAGGCCGGCTTCAAACTCACAGAGATCCACCTGCTTCTGCCCTCCCAAGTGCTGAGATTAAAAGTGTGTGCCACCACCACCTGGCTTGTATGAAGCATTTTTATTCTACCTTCCTGTGTAAATGTACTATTTTTAATATGTCTTTAGCATTTTTAAGGTTTGCTATAAGGAATAAATTGTTGATTTTTCCTTCTTGAAATCCTTTTAAACCCTAAAACTTACTTCTCTGATGAGCTCTCTGTGCTTAATTCTTTCCCATGTTTATTCAAGGATTTATCCCACCCATCCTCCATTCCTTGCCCAACACTAGGGATAAAGGAATGAAGCTACCTCCCCACCCCATTCCTCCATCTTTAGATTTATCCCTGTCTTCTCTGGAATGACTCCATGCTTTCTGCTGTATGAGGAGCTCTTCTTGCTCCCATCGTGTGTGTGCACACACACATGCACACTCACACTTGTTACTAACATATCTTCTATTATTTCTAGGAACTTGAGAGACAAGAAGACATAATGTATATTTGGCTTCCCCTCTTGAATCTCAGTAGTTCTTTTTGTAGCTTCATCTGATAAAATCTCTTCTAAATCTGGCCTTGCCTGGTTTTACACACATGAACTTGCACTTGAATCATGTGAACTCTGCTGCTAGTAGCCTTGGAGATGTCTTCATGTCAACTCCAGCACCAAAATTTTGTTGGAGTGTTTGTATAAGTACTCTAGTCATTTGAAAATTGTTACTATAGGTCATTGAAATTAAATCATGTTTAAAGTTTTATCATCTGCTTTAGTTTCAGAAATACTAGTTTATAGAATATAAAGAAGGAAAAAAAAAAAGAATGTAAAGAAGAATCAAGCTTATTGGCATCTGGCACCTGAAGTCAACTCTTAAAGTAATGTAGGAAAGTAGGAGCAATGGCAGCAATGAATATAAAAGCTAAGGGAACAGGTGATACTGGATTTGCTGAGTAGGGCAATGTGCACTGACTTCTTTTTTTCTTTCCCAGTCATAATGTGTAATATACGAGGGTCATGAAAAAACTAGTTCTACATGAACTGTCTTTTTGGAGCCTGTTACCTATGGTCGGATACTTTGCTCAGGCTGATTCAGTGGGGAGGGGCTTGGTCCTGCCTCAGTTTGGTATCCCAGATTTGGTGACTCCCCAAGGGAGACCTTAACCCTTCTGAGGAGTGGATGGGGGGGTATGGTGTGGGGGTGGGGGAATAGGGAGGAAGGACAAGGGGAAGGAGAGGGAACTGGGGGGTTGGTATGTAAAAATAATAAAAAAGGAAAAAAATGAAAAACCTAGTTGTGGACCTGAGACCCTCTAGATAATCCCCACGGATCTCTGTCAAGGGGAGTTGTGTCATCCCTGGGCCTCGTCCAAGCACCCATTTGTCCTGGAGTTCCCTGAGTGCTAGGAGAACATAGGACTGCTCAGCTAAGTGCCATACTCTCCCAGGACAGTCAGTGACCCTGAGACCCTCCCTTAGTTCTCTCCCTGTTCCAGATGAACTCATTTTTACCTCAACCTGAAATCTAAATAGATTTGAACAGAAGTAAATTGACAAAACTGTCTTAATTTAAACAAAATCAGGATCTAGTTTAGATAAATTTTAAGAAATGGCCATCAATACTAATTGATATTCACTGGATTATAGAATTTTGCTTTATGTTTAAGCAATATTATAATCATGTTTCTAGATACTCTAATCACAATATCACTTTCATCAAGTAATGCTTTTACTTTTTGACCTTTTATTTTATCCAAAAATTGAATATCTATAAACTCTGATTAACTTATTTTCTCCATTAAAATTTTTCATTGTCTTAAGTAAACTTTAAAAGTACCATAATTTTCAATATATCTATGAAGTCACAAGTTATTATCCTTCATGTTATCCAGCCGACTTAAAGTGGAAAATGCTTTTAATTAAACATTTATGTTCTTTAGAACAGTAGAACTGAGAAAATTAAAGTTTTGAATCAGTTGACAATTCTACTCATCACATAATCCTATCTAAGCATATGAAAATAATTTATAATTCCTTAACGTTTGAAATACTGGGGAAAAAAATCATCCTGAAAAGAAACAAACAAAACAGAGCATACTTTTAACCTTTCAGTCTACTAATACAGAGATAATTTTTTCAAGGATTAAACATACTTGCACACAAAATACCCAGATAGTAAAGCCATGCCACATGCTGTAGTAGAAACTTAAAATTTAAAACGTGTTTACCTGGAAATCTAAACTAAGTAGGCTTTGCTTGGTGTCATTTAAGTCTCCCGCTGAAAGTGAAACAAAACCAGAACTTTCTTTAAAAACAAAGAACAGAAGGGAATGTTGAAAAATATTAGCTGACTTCTTAGTCAAATCTAAAATAACTGCTTCTCTTGGGGATAAATACCTTAAAGTTCTTTGTGTGGAAAATCAGCCAAAGAAGTAACCAGGGAAAATGGTTTCCAAGGGAATTTTTCTTTTTTTAAATCACAGGAAAAGTGGAAAACATCAACAGGGAGTTGGGGCGGGGGCTGGGAGATCATTTCCTGTGCAGGCTGAAAAGGCAGAACTAGAGTCACAAAAGTGATCTGAAAAATCTGTGGCTCTCATAGGCTATTTGCATGAAAATATTGCATGAATTTTGAAGTTCAAACTACCCAGCATACCACTTGAGATTTGTCAGTTTTATAGTAGAAGTGTTCTCATCCCCCTAAAGGCTGCATGTGACTCCAGTCCTGTTTAAATTGAGTTAAATTTCTCCTAAAAAGGAAACAAAAACTGCTTACATATTGATGACATTAGAAATTAATATAACTTTAGTAGTTGGGTGGTGGTACATGCCTATAATCCCAGCACTTTGAGGTAGAGGCACTGGGAGTTTTAAATCATTCTAGGCCACATATGAAGTTTGAGCCAGCCTAGGCTATAGGAGACCATATCTCAAAATGATTTCATGTATAAATACATACATACATACATAATACATGCATACACCCGTATTCTTAGCTGAACTGGAACTTACTATGTAGACCATGCTGGCCTTGAACTCACAGAGGATCTACCTGTCTCTGTCTCCCAGTCCCAGAGAATTTGTGTGTGTGTGTGTGTGTGTGTGTGTGTGTGTGTGTGTGCCTATATAGGTATATATATATATATACTTTTTTTTAATGTACAAGGGAGCAGTAAGGGTTCTCCTTATCAGTTACTCCAGCAAATTAGTGGTGTGCTTTGGCCTCAGGTTTCTTCGTCTCCCCATCAGCAAGTTAAAAACAGATGAGTGTCAAGCCCAGCACTGCTGACTGTGGGTTCCTGAGTTCCTCTATGGAAAAGCCTAGTGAGTATTCAACATAGTACATGAAAGTCAAGTGCTATAAAGGCACATAGATTTGAGATTTAGAAATAATAAAAATGAAGATTTAACATCTTTGCAAATAAGTGACTTATGTACTGAATTATAGTAACCTCTCAATACCAATTTTGGAAACAAGAAAATAGTGAATAAATGCCTTTAAATATTTTTTGTTTTTTGAGACAGGGTTTCTCTGTGTAACAGCTCTGGCTGTCTTGGAACATACTCTATAGACCAGGTTGTCATCAAACTCACCAAGATCCACCTGCCTCTGCCTCCTGAGTGCTGGGATTTAAAGGCACCACCCAGATGTGCCTTTAAATTTTTGAAAGGAATTTATTTTTCAATCAAAAAGTCATTTCAAGACAAAAAGGAAAAAAAAACAAGCTGACAAGTGGACAAAAAAAATATTAAATTAGAAGTTTGTAGACTAGGAAATGCCAGTGGTTGGGGAAAGGCAAAAAGCAGATTTCAACATCAGTCATAGTCAAGAAGTGTTCATAGCGATATGTGCCGTCACCCCCAGTGTGAAATATTAAGACTGAACATTAGAAGTAGTATAAGCACCATCATTTTAAAATAATCCAAATAATTCTCACATACTTGGTAACATAAATCACAGCCTGATTTGAAACATGTGTGTTGTTTGTTGAAGGAGACTTGTGTTCGTGGCATGCTGTGTGTGGCAAACAGAGATGGTTCTATTGAGGACAGCAAATAAGAAGCAGTACTGTCACCCACACGCCACCTCTAGACATGCATTACAGGAACATCTTTCTGAGCAGAGGTGTGCTCAGGGTAGTGCTTTGAAGCTCTCCAGCTACAGACTTTATAAACAAGCAAACAAAAAGTAACCCAGTTGTGTATTTGGAACAATGGACTACAAAGCTCTTTGGAAACTAAAATAACATTAATACTGGTATATGAAGTTGTCTCCAACATACCAAGAGGAAAAAGGAAATATCTAAAACAATATATGCGTTATCTTTTGATATATATAATTTGGCATCTTTCTGGAGAACAGATTAGAAGGGATAAACAAAAATTATATATTTATATCTAGGTGATGAAATTATATTTTCTGTATGTAATTCATCATTTTGACGATGTTTTCTGCTTTTTATAACCAGATGAGGAAAGAATAACTATTTAAAACAATATAAACAGAAAAACCCTCATTTTATAAAAAGAGTGTGTGTGTGTGTGTGTGTGTGTGTGTGTGTGTGTGTGTGACTTTATTATAATTTATGTGTTTTGCCTGCATGTATGTCTGTTCACTGTGTGTATTCATTGTCCACAGAGGCCAGAAGAGGACATTTTATCCCTTGGAACAGGAATTACAGATAGTTGTAAGCCACTCTGTGAGTGCTAGGAAATTGAACACTGGTCTCCTACAAGAGCAGCCAGTGCTCTTAATGACTGAGCCATCTTTCTGGCTCCTTAAACAAAAGTAACTTTTTAGTGGCATAGAGGAATAACAATAACTATCACGCTGGGATGGAAAAAAACAATTTTAAGATTTCTGAGGTCCCTGCTCTACAAGTTTGTGGTTTAATGGATGATTACATGAGCTCCTTTTCAGAAACTGTTTTAACCACCCTCGTACATGGAAAGTGCTGGTGTTATGGTTTTTCCTTTTCTCTTATTATTTTAGGCATAATTATGTCCTAAAACTTGGCTACTGTAGTGCTCTGAAACAGTATAGTGTTTGTTACCGAAGACTATGCAGAAAGTGAGCATCAGCCATGCCAGAAGGGAGTAAGCCCGTAGGACATTTATTTCACTTACCACTGAGGTCACTTAGACTGGTTAGTATCTACTGTCCACACAAAGTGGAGTCATCTGGGAAGAAGGAACCTATTGAAGAATTGCTTCTGTGAGATTGGTCTGTGGGCATATCTTTGGGGACTTGTCTTTGATTAGTGACTGATGTGAGAAGGCCTAGCCTACTGTGAGCAGCACATTCCGGGATGACCCTGGCTGGACTGTATAAGAAAGCAAGCTGAGAGAAATAGATTAAGTCAATAAGTACTTTTCCTACATGATTTCTGCCTCTGCTCACACTTGAGTTCCTGTGCTGACGCCCTCTGTGACGGATTGTAACCCAAAAGCATACAATGAAAAACCGGCCCCACCCCCAAATTACTTTTGGTCTTAGTGTTTATCACAGTAACAGAAAGCAAACTTCAACAGAAATTGGTACCAGAAGTGGGGAATTGCTGTGATGGGCCTGACCATGTTGTTTGGGGAAGTAGCAAGCAGTGAATGTGAAAGGATTCTGGAACTTTGATCCAGAAAAGCTATTGAGTGCTGAGAGCTTAATTCACTGTTCTTTGGGTGCTTGAAAGATAATGCAGAGAGAAATGCTGACAATGGAGGGCCATTGTGAAGTTTCAGAAGAAAGAAAAAAAATCTTTCAGGGATGTTCATATAGAATCTGTGATTGAAAAGTTAATTGTGATTAACAAGAAACTAATACTACAAGTGAAACCTGTGCTTTACTGGAAAACTGGTCGCTGGTTAGCTCAGGCTGAAAACTTAGCTGTGTTTTATAAGAGATGAGCATTATTGAGGTAAAAGCTTCTGGAAAGTATTTCCTTAGGGTCAGAATACAGAAGCCATGGTCCAATTGGAAGTGAAAGCTGTACATCAAATTGGCAGCAGAGTTTGGCAAACATTTAAGTCTCCCACATGATACTGGTTTTGAAGGCATGAAAGGACCATGGAGAGAAGCTGAAGTTTGATACTAGATGATAAGGTCACTGGAGTCCCTGCAGAGGCCAAAAGATGCCAACCATGAAGGTACATTCTCAGATAGTGAGGATGCCAAGACTGTGAGATCCACCAAGAGCAACAGCATGTGTGGGATGGAGCTGGTCTTAGTCAGCTGAATAGACTCTGGATGGCAAGGCTGGAGAAGTGGATATGCCCAAGTCTTTTGCAGCCAAAACATGAGTGACACCCAGATGTCAAGCACAGAACCACAGCATTCTATGTATTCTGACAGACTTTAGTGTTGCTTACGTGTGATTATACTTTTATTCCCTGCTTCTTCTCTTTTGGAGTAAGGAAGTATTTTTTTTTTTTTTTAGACGCCTACAGTTAAGAAACTTCAGAGTCAGTGATTAGTTGTGGGTGGCTGCTTCTACTTCCACCAGCTGCTGGATGAAGGCTATAGGATGGCATATAAGACAGTCATCAATCTCATTATCAGGGGAGGGCATTTAAGGTAGCCTCTCCTCTGTTGCTTAGATTGTTAGCTGGTGTCATCTTTGAAGATCTCCAGACATTTCCCTAGTGCCTGATTTCTCTATAAACCTAAAATGTCTCCCTCTATTATGGTATCTCCATTCTTGTTATCTTCTATTCTTCACCTGACTCAACCTTCCTGCTCCCTCATGTCCTCTGTATCCCTCCTCTTCTCCCCTCTCACTCTCCTAGCTCCCTCCCCGCTCCTCCCTTGCTCCCAATTTGCTCAGGAGATCTTGTCCCTTTCCTCTTCTTCAGGGGACCATGTATGTCTCTCTTAGGGTCCTCCTTGTTTACTAGCTTCTCTGACAGTCAGACTTTTAAACTGTACTATAGCGGCTGGAGAGATGGCTCAGTGGTTAAGAGCACTGGCTGCTCTTCCAGAGGTCCTGAGTTCAATTCCCATCAGTCACATAGTGGCTTACAACCATCTGTAATGAAATTTGGCTCCCTCTTTTGGCCTACAGGCATACATGCTGACAGAACACTGTACACAAAAAAAGTTGTAATGTAAGGTTTAAGGTGATGTCCAAGGAGTGGAGTCTACTTGTTAGATTCAGCTGTCAACTTGACAAAGTCCAGAGGCATCTGAGGACATCTCAGATGGGGGATTTCCATGATCAGATTGTCTGTGTTGCATTTTCTGTTGTTGTATTTCAAGAGGAAATGGCTTTTAAGTTGGAAGAATGAATATGACATATTGTTGAGCGACACACAGAAAATTACAAATGTTGATGCCTTGTAGATATATGAGCAGATACGAAGGCTGCTGTGTCTAATTAAAAATTTACCATAGTTTTATACAAAGTTTTATGGGTTATTTTATTCATAATTACTTCTTATAACTCCTGAATATTTGTCTACTCAGAAAAAGAAAACTAGTTTTATTTTACACACACAACAAAACAGGAAGAGCTCCTTAAATAATAACTGCTCTAGTC